TACCCCCGGGGGTCATGATTTGAACAAACTTGAATCTACACTACCTGAGGATTATTAATTTCACATGAGTTTCATTTTTCCTGTCTAAATGGTTCTTGAGAAGAAGATTTTTAAAGATTTTTCCTATATACTCCTAGGTAAAGCTTTGATCATCCATTTTGGCCCCACCCTACCCCCGGGGGTCATGATTTGAACAAACTTGAATCTACACTATCTGAGGATGAATCCATATGAGTTTCATCTTTCCTGGCCCAGTAGTTCTTGAGAAGAAGATTTTTAAAAATTTTTCCTATATTTCCTATGTAAAACTTTGATCGGCCATTGATCGGCCATTTTGGCCCTACCCTTCCCTAGGGGGTCATGATTTGAACAAACTTGAATCTACACTATCTGAGGATGATTCCACATGAGTTTCATCTTTCCTGTCCCAGTGGTTCTTGAGAAGAAGATTTTTAAAGATTTTTCCTATATACTCCTATGTAAAACTTTGTTCGGCAAATTTTGGCCCCACCCTATGCCCGGGGGTCATGATTTGAACAAATTTGAATCTACACTATTTGAGGATGATTCCACATGAGTTTCATCTTTCCTGGCCCATTGGTTCTTAAGAAGAAGATTTTTAAAGATTTTTCCTATATTTCCTATGTAAAACTTTGATCAGCCATTTTGGCCCCACCCTACCCCCGGGCCCGTCATGATATGAACAAACTTGAATCTACACTACCTGAGGATAATTTCACATGATTTTCATTTTTCCTGTCTAAATGGTTCTTGAGAAGAAGATTTTTAAAGATTTTTCCTATATACTCCTAGGTAAAGCTTTGATCATCCATTTTGGCCCCACCCTACCCCCGGGGGTCATGATTTGAACAAACTTGAATCTACACTATCTGAGGATGAATCCATATGAGTTTCATCTTTCCTGGCCCAGTGGTTCTTGAGAAGAAGATTTTTAAAAAATTTTCCTATATTTCCTATGTAAAACTTTGATCGGCCATTGATCGGCCATTTTGGCCCCACACTTCCCTAGGGGGTCATGATTTGAACAAACTTGAATCTACACTATCTGAGGATGATTCCACATGAGTTTCATCTTTCCTGGCCCAGTGGTTCTTGAGAAGAAGATTTTTAAAAAATTTTCCTATATTTCCTATGTAAAACTTTGATCGGCCATTGATCGGCCATTTTGGCCCCACACTTCCCTAGGGGGTCATGATTTGAACAAACTTGAATCTACACTATCTGAGGATGATTCCACATGAGTTTCATCTTTCCTGGCCCAGTGGTTCTTGAGAAGAAGATTTTTAAATATTTTTCCTATATACTCCTATGTAAAACTTTGTTCGGCAAATTTTGGCCCCACCCTATGCCCGGGGATCATGATTTGAACAAACTTGAATCTACACTATCTGAGGATGATTCCACATGAGTTTCATCTTTCCTGGCCCATTGGTTCTTAAGAAGAAGATTTTTAAAGATTTTTCCTATATTTCCTATGTAAAACTTTGATCAGCCATTTTGGCCCCACCCTACCCCCGGGGGTCATGATATGAACAAACTTGAATCTACACTACCTGAGGATGATTCCACATGAGTTTCATTTTTCCTGGCCCAGTGGTTCTTGAGAAAAAGATTTTTTAAAATGGCATTAATTTTTCTCAAATTCATAATTCTCTCCCCTTGGAAAAGGGCGTGGCCCTTCATTTGAACAAACTTGAATCCCCTTTACCCAAGGATACTTTGTAGCAAGTTTGGTTGAAATTGGAGCAGTGGTTCTTGAGAAGAAGATGAAAATGTGAAAAGTTTACGACGACAACGACAACGACGACAGACAACGGACAAATTTGATCAGAAAAGCTCACTTGAGCCTTCGGCTCAGGTGAGCTAAAAATACCATATGCCTTACCCGGATTTGACTATATACTGCAAAAGGGGGACAACCAGTCTATTGGTTTAGCCACCCCCCCAAATTCAAATTAGCCCCCCCCCCTTCAATTTGCTTCCGACGCCTATGAAAGTAAAGTTTTCACCCCACACCATCCCCGATTCTACAATGTACATGTAAGTGCATGATGTTAAAATTGGCAATTAATTAGAAAAAATAATACTTATAATAATACCGGTAACAGTTTTCAGTAAATTAAAATATATCATGTAATACATAATACTGTTATATTATTACGTGCGTGTACAACACATTTTTACTGAAAACATTCACTGAAAATATTCGGTAAAGTTGCTACATGTAGGTATGCAAATTCCTTTGATCGTTATTTTTATAGTATTAATACATATCTTTTTTATTTTCTGAAAAAAAATACAGTTTTTGATATGTATTCCAACTCCTGTAATTGAACTGCCATATCATAGACAATAAAACCTCTTTTTCTATAATGCTAAAATTCGGTTCTATAACACTCTATAGGTATCTGTTTTTAACAATAATCAAATAATTTCAAGTTTTAGGGTTCCATTGAGTTTTAAATTTTGTTCTCTTAAAATACGGACATTATTCAACTAATATACAAGAACGTCAGTTAAATTCGCTCTTTCTCTCTCGAAAATAAAATGTTCGGTGTCTCGTTCTATTTCGACAGACTTTCCACCCATACCACATGGCTATCTATTACTTTATTTCATTAGAAGTATTTTATAAATTTCAAGTTGCACGATCGCATGTTTATCATATTTTCTTTGTTGTACGATCGCATATAGAGTCGTTGCCGATCGCCAAAACGTTTGGCATGTGTTCACTTCAAACCGTTATTTCGACGCTTTCTATTTGATGAAGAACTTCAAATTGGATTTAAAATTTATGATTTACCTGTTTACATGCAAATGTGCCTTTTGGACTGTCGGGTATACGTAATAAGGTAAGAAATACCACTTTAACGAGCTTTATGTGTCACGTTAGGGCAGTCATGTTCAAGGAAAACTTAACTTTAACATAATATATGGTGATTTTTAATGCGTAGGGGATTTTTATGGTGTTGAACATATCTAGTAGCATTTAAAAAGTCAGAAATGTTGAAGGAAAATTGCGAGGAAATAGGACAAAATAATGTTTTATTTAACCTCATCTTCCTCATGTAGTTGAGTTTAGCTATCCGCGTTGCCGATCGCATCCGCGTTGCCGATCGCGCGTTGACAGGGGTGATTCAGTTCAACCCTAAATTAAAATGTATATGCCCAACATATCTGTTGGCATGCCTAAGAAAAGTTAAATTTCTTGCTTATTTATATTTCCAAAGGATAAAGAGTAACTAGGTGAACTGTGAGCACTGAGCTCACTTTAATGATACCACATGCCTCCTACAGTATAAGTAGAATTTTTAGCGAGGATTTAAGTTTGGTATTATTACCAAGGGTGACAAGATCGCTAAAAGTGAATATCGCTAAAAAATCAATTGCACTTTATTTGTAAAAGTTTCTTGAGTGAGCTTTTTAAAATCACTAAAATTACATCTCTCTAATATAAAATACCAATTGTTAAGGACAAATCACTAAATTTGCGTCTCGCTAAAAATTCCACTTATACGGTATATGATTATAATGACAAAGTCCATATTTTGCTCTTGGAGATCCGAAATAAGTGTCAGATCAAAAAGTAAAATCAAAATGAGGTTACGTGTACAATATTGGCATGATGTAATAAAGAATCTATGAAAGCATCATAAAATCTATTCAGTGGAATGGAGGAATTGCAGATAAAGATGGATATACCCTTCAATATTAGAAAGAATGGCAGTATCCATGTAATGCTAAGGGAGCCCAAATTATGTGCCAGATCAAAAAAATAAAATAGAAGGTGTATTTTGGCACTATTTAAAAAAGATTCTGTGAAAACCTCATAAAATTCTGAGAATACTCATTAAATTTTATTCATGCAGTGGTAGAAGAGGAGTTGTGGATAAGAAATGGGTACCCCAAAGCATATCAGACGGACGGACGGACGTACAGCTAGACGGATGGATGGACAAATGTCCAATCATTATACACCCCTTCCCCCTGCTTTTTAAGCTGGGGTATATTAAATTATGTTTACAATGAAGAAAACAATGAAGAATGAATTTATAATAGTGCTTAAAATAGGAATTCGGAACTAGTAAAATTCCGATATCTTCCAGTGTTTTAAATATTTATTTTAGACAAGTTTTTAATATTTGTTAGAGTACATATCAAACTTACTTTTGATACCTGGAATGTTGTTATATCCCCTGCTTGAAAAGCAGGAGGGTATATAGTAATTGGTATGTCCATCTAGCTGTCTGTCCGTCCATCTGCCTGTTATGCTTTGGGGTACCCATCTCTTATCCGCATCTCCTCTTATACCACTGATTAAAATTTAATGAAACTTTCACAGAATCTTTACTACATATTGCCATTGTGCACCTCCTATTTTACTTTTTGATCTGACATATATTTTGGGTTTCCAGGCCACAGCAAAACATGGACTTTGCCACTATAACCATATGGGGGGGGGGGGGGTATCATTTAGTGAGCTCATTGCTCACAATACCTTTGGTATTGGTGTCTCTAAAGACGTTTTTCTGCAGACTTGCATGTCACGGTGATTCAGATTTGTTGCATTGTAAAAGTATGTCGACTCTTTCAAGTACGATAACGAAACCGAACTGACGGCAAAAAATCAAAACTTAGCATAATGCAAACCTCATAAATAAGCCTTCTTGGCATAGGTATCAATTTATTTTTACACCTTTGAATGTATTCATTATCAGCTCTTAAATGATTTAAGCTATGAATTATTCGGAACTGGTCAAAATTCGGAACTGGCTAAACGACTGTAAGACCAAACCAACAACATTAAGAATAAATAATCACAGGTGCTATCATTAATGTTAGCTCATGAGTCTAGAAAAGACCAGTATCAAAATTATGATGTAAGGCTCTTAAAAATATGATTACTACCAAAATAAGAATTTTTACTATGATTAATTAAGCTTTGCTTGCTATTATAACTTTTATCAACATAATCACAGGGAAAGAGAACAACAGAGGACCTGTATGGGATGACTCTGATGATTGTTGGAGACTTCTCATTGATCCACCTAGCACTTCTTTGATGAGTAACTTGTCTGCTACAGTAAAATCATTCCTTCACAGTAACCCACTTGAGGAAATTCTGAAGAACAGAAGAATATCATCAGTAGAACTTACTCTAGAGCAGCATATTCCTTGTAAGTACTCAATTAAGAAATATCTGAATGATTTGAATACCATTTCCGTGGATACTCACACATAGAAATATACATGGAGAAATGTGTGTCACAATGAGGCTACAGAGATGTTAGTAAAAATAAAAAGATACACTGTCAGGTTCTTACGTGCTAGGGAAGGGCTATATAGTTTATATAGTGAAAATGCATTATTTCTTCGAAAATCTTCTTCTTTGCTCCTGGGTATTTAATAAACAAACCAAATACCTAGTTATGTTGAATATATAAGGCTGCCTCTTCCAAAATTGTGAATTTCATGGCCCTAGGGTCAGGGGTTCTGGTGTTAGGGTTGGGCTGAAAATTTGGAAAAAAGCACCATTGCTTATCATAATTATAAACTAAGCATATTTACTCTATTTACTTAATACCCAGAGGTAGATCAGAATAACAAAGAGAAAAATGCACTTCCACTTTATCATGTTTATAACCAGTTGTGCACCCCAAAGGAACCACTGACCCTGGGGCCATATATTTAAAAATTTTAGAAATTTTATCATAAATTTTATTTCGTCATAAATGGTTGATTAATACCAAAGAGCAGATTTCAAAGCATTAATTTATTTTCAGACTATGTACCCCCCCCCCTCGATACCCCTGACCCAGGGGGCAGGAAATTAACCATTTTGCTAGATGCACCTTACTTCATCATAAATATATAAACTTGGATCATTAGCATAATACCCAGGAGCAAAGAAAAGGATTTTCAAAGAATAAATGTATTTTCAATATATAATCAAAAGAGCCCCGGGTCTCCCCCCCCACCCCCCCCCCCTTTACACCAAATGGCAAATCCTCTGAAACAAGGGTCAAGAAATTCACAAATTTGAATGAGGCATTATAACTATATACTGATTTAGTTTATTTAATACCCAGGAGCAGAGAATACAATTTTGAAAGAATTAATGCATTTTCACAATGTAATCAATAGTCACTCAGTCACCGCCCGCCCTAACACCAGAACCCCTGACCCAGGGGCCATAAAATTCACAATTTTGGAAGGGGCACTCCTGTTCAGCATAACTATGTACTTAGTTTATTTAATACCCAGGAGCAGAGAAGAAGATTTTCAAAGATTTAATGCATTTTCACTATATAATCAATAGAGCCCCGCCATAGCACCAGAACCCCTGACCCTGGGGCCATAAAATTCACAATTTTGGAAGAGGCACTCTTTCTCATCATAACTATGTACTTAATTAGTTTATTTAAAACCCAGGAGCAGAGAAGAAGATTTTCAAAGATTTAATGCATTTTAAACTATATAATCAATAGAGCCCCGCCTTAGCACCAGAACCCCTGACCCTGGGGCCATCAAATTCACAATTTTGGCACTCCTGCTCATCAATACTATGTGCTTAGTTTATTTAATTCCCAGAAGCAGAGAAGAAGATTTTGAAAGAATAAATGCATTTTCACTACATAATCAATAGAGCCCCACCCTAACACCAGAACCCCTGACCCTGGGGCCTTGAATTTCACAATTTTGGTAGAGGACTTAATGCTGATTACAGTCATACCAACAGTTTGACTGCTTGATGTCCAGGAGTAAAGAAGAAGATTTTTAAACATTTCATTTATTTTAGTGGTTTTGGCCCCACCCCTCAGGCCCAAGGGGGGCGGGGAGCATAAAAGTCACAATTTTGGTTCCCCTTCACCCATAGATGCTGTATACCAAATTTGGTTGAAATTGGTTCAGTGGTTTCAGAGAAGAAGCTGAAAATGTTTAAATGTTAACACATGATGGACGATGCACGATGACGGATGTAAACAGATAGCAATAGGTCACCTGAGTGACTCAGGTGAAATTCTTTAAAAACATTTTCTCTGCTCCTGGGTATTAAACAAACTAACTAAGTGCATAATTATGTTGAATAAGAGTGCCTCTTCCAAAATTGTGAATTTCATGGACTCAGGTTCAGGCACATTAATACTTTAAAAACCTCCTCCTCTGCTCCTGAGTATTAAACCAATGAACGAATGTACAGAGTTATGATGAGAAAGGATACCTCTGACAGATTTGGGAATTTCAGGGCCCCTTGGTCAGGGGTTTTGGTGTTAGGATGTGGCTCTATAGTGAAAATGCATGAATTTGCTTCGAAAACCTTTTCCTTTGCTCCTGGGTATTATGCCAATGTTCTAAGTACATATTAATGATGATGAAAGGTGCTTCTTCCAAAATGGTTAATTTCGGGGCCCCTGGGTCAGGGTACTTAGGGTTGGGGTGGGGGTTACACTGTCTGAAAATAAATCAATGCTTTGAAATCTGCTTTTTGATATTAATCAACCATTTATGATAAAATAAAATTTATGATAAAATTTCCAGAATTTTGAAATATGTGCCCCCAGGGTCAGTGGTTCCAGTGGGGTGGGTCACACAACTGGCTATAAAGTGGAAATGCATTTTCTCTTTGTTAATCTGATCTACCTCTGGGTGTTAAGTAACCAAAGTCAGCAAGCTAAGTGTATAGTTATGATAAGCAATAGTGCCTCTTTCAAAATTTTGAATTTCATGGCCTTTGATTTAAAACATGAACCAATTCAATGTGGAAAGTTGTTACATGATACTCAGGTGACCTAAAAGGCCCGTGGGCCTATTGTTAATGCAAGATACAGACAAGACAGTCAATCAAAATTACTTGATTATGAAAATAAGCTTCGACTTACATTGCTTAGGCCACACCAATTAGTAACATAGTTCTTCGGATTTTCAAAAATAAAAAGTGAGGCAAGCGAGCGAAAATATTTTACAAATATTACTTTTCATTTCAAGTTTCAAAATTATGAGGCGAGCGAATATAATTAATATTAGTGGCAAAAATTTCTAAGTTCTTCTCTTTTTTCATTATTTTTTCTGGACGAGAATACATTTTCGATGCCCTCATAAGATGCGAAAACGTGTCTTTCTTTTGTTTCTCGTAACATTGCAATTTTGACATACAGTACAGGCAACGCGGATCCCGTATTTCCCGCGCCCCGTCGCGGTATAATCACAACGCAGTATTTGGCCAGGTGAGACATGTAAACCGCGTTCCCTCAGCGGGAATTTCATCACCTACCTGTCCCCGCCGCGGTTAAATCCTTGATCGATTACTGACAATTAGTATCGTAAACAAACGGGAGTTATCTCCCCGAATTGTAATTTGCGAATTTTCCCCGTAACAAAAAAATAATGACACTGTATGGTTCTTAAAAGAAGTATTTTCATTTATTTTGCTATGGTGAATAGAAAATAAACTAAGAAAAAATATATTTATTTTTGTTTCTAAAATTATATATCAATTTTTGAATTAGAATTAAAAAGTTTATTCAGTTGGTTAATTTTTTGCGTTATTGAGAGTCTAACAAGAAACAAAATTAGATACTAGAAAGATTAGGTTTTTTTTTTTATTTATTCACATTATATGCGAACTTTAATACTGCTGAACTCAGACAGCGTGAGTTTCGATAAACGATTTTCATGCAGCATTCATTTGAAAAAAAAAAAAAAAAAAAAGGTACAATTAATCTTTGAAAAAAATGTAAATCCTCATATTGTTTATATTCTTTTCCCAAATTTAGAACACTTAATTTAATTAATTTCGCTTTATTGTATAAATGTGCAGGCATTTTTCTTAAAGTGTCAAATAACGGGAAACATTCGATGGCGAGAGTTTGCAGTTACATATCATGTAGTGGTCACGTGAACTTGAATTTTCTTTATGCAGGATATCAAGAAAAAAATCTTTTCTTCTTTTTTTCTCATTGTTTGTGTTCTTTTCCCAAATTTAGAACACTTTTTAAAAATTTATTTCGCTTTATTATATAGTTGTGCAGGCATTTTTCTCAAAGTATCAAATTACCGGAAAGCATGAATTTTAGTTCGATGGCGATAGTTCACTTTGCAGAACAAACTTTACATGTGAACTTTATATGATATCAAGAAAAAATATCGCTTCTTCACCTTCATATTTACATGTGTTTCATTTGTAAACAATATGTCTTTCTTTTTAATTTTAATATTTCTCCATTTTCACGTGCAGTAAAATAAGATAGGATGTGCAGGTACGGTGATAAACTTCACAGAACAAATTAAATTAAAGAAGGGGGATGTATTACACTTAAGTTTTTAATAATATTCAATGAATATAATAATCAAATACTTTCGATTTCTTCGACAATTTCTGTTTCTTTGTGTATTAAGTATTAGCCGCGATCATTTCCTGTGTATAGGGATTAGCAGTCCCAGCACAGGAAACGGCATGCCCTGAGGGTTTCACACCTGTCCTAGAGTACCTTGAATAACTCTCTCTCTGAATGTGCACGTCGTTGTCTAGCATTTCAACATAGCATTTGATTCAATGTTTCATTATTTCATCGATATCATTTTCAAATGAGATAACCGCTTTGAAATTTTAGTCAATATATTGTTGCTTTTTTAACTGAGTGTAAAAAAAAACCAACAAAACTTTTAAAACAAATTAATAATTAAAGTATTTGAAATTAATTAAATCAAATAATGATTCATTACTATTTTATTTACGTGTCTGTTTATACCTGTACCAATTAGTAGATTACGAGAGAGAGAGAGAGAGAGAGAGAGAGAGAGAGAGAGAGAGAGGGGGGGCATTATCAACTTGAGGCACGTGCAAGACCGTTTTTCCTCGTTTTGATCAGTATAAATATTATTGATTTCTCAAGTCTATGGAATGAAACTAAACTAAACATGATATAATTTTAATGAAATTGCTAATGGATCAGACTTTTTAAAGTTCCATAATAATCATTGCCGTGAACAGTCTAGACAAACTCCAAAAACGGCGTGAACTCCAAAAAAGAAGTCTTTGGCTCCGTCATGCATTGCGGCAAAATGGCTTCCGATGTAAACAAACGATGGATTGTCGTTCACTTTCTCCACAAATACGACTGAATAATGGCTGTATTTAGTAAACTGTGACTGGATTTCAATTTTTGTTGAATAAATA